GATTTTATAAAAGGTTACGATCTTTATTCAATTTATAGAGATCCATTCAAAATTCGTAATAAAGTTAAAAATTAAACCATTATAGAAAATCTTTAAATATTATTTGTTGAGTTGCTTGCGAAATAGATAAAGTAAATGGGGATCGAGATCGAGTAAATGAATTGGCCAGGCTTCATTTTAATCATAATTTTATCAACATTTCGTTGTCATGTTCATTGTCGATTTGGTTATTACTGTATCACAATTGTTGTCACTGTTGCTTTTCGGTTTCATTGCTATTTGTTTGACTTTTTTACGAATTTTGAATGGATCTCTATAAATTGAATAAAGATCGTAACCTTTTATAAAATCACCTCGTTAAGGTTCTAAAATTTTAATTAGCTCAGCGTTGCCATCTATCTCTAATTTTTCTAAGTCTACTAAATCTTTTATAAACTCTAAATTAGTTAAAAGATTTTTACAAACATTTAATGTTTTTATTTGGGGACAGTTTTCAATGATTAATTCCTTTGCCCGCAATCTCAAATAGTACACTCTTGCAGTTGAGGTAAATTTTTAAGAGTTATTTTATCTATATTTACAATTTCTCACTTTTTTTTTCATAGTATCAATATGTTAAACAAAGATATTCTTACAGTAATTTAATATCATTTTATGTAAATTTTTAATTACGTACGAGCTAATAACGTATTTTATCATGTGATCTTTGCCTTGAAAACCACCATACGACATTTTCCGATCGGGCTAATTCGGACAAAGCAGGTTGTATTTATTGTTATCGTTATACATCGATTCAATAGTTTATTGAATCAATAACGATAAGTCCAAAATGTGACTCACATATGGGTAATTTATTTTTGAACCAGGACCAATTTTATATATGACGTAATAACATTTTGGTCTGGATCCAAAAATAATTACTCATAAATACAACTCGATATTTTGGCATCATCATGAACATGGGACATTGTCTGGGACTGTCCGTGTTCCTGCAATTTTAACGGACAACGTCCGTGTACAACACTGCTCAGGTATGGATTTCTAATAAAAAATTACGAAATAAATGGCACTTCCCTAACTGTAAGGGTCGAACATAAGGCCATCTCAAGATGAAGCGGTCACTTGGAATTTGGTTCATCTTTCAGATTCTGGGTATTTAATAGCAAGATTGTAAAAACAATAATAATTTACAAACCAGACGTTCCTGAGGTGAATAAAGCAATTTGTTATCGGTATTTATTGGGATTCATACATGGAATGATGAAATTTATTTGTATGCCGTCAGATTCATTATCAGGCTTAAATTAAAAAATGAAAATGCAATTTCGGACATCAATAAACTATATTGAAGGTGATTTATATCATTTACTAATGTTGCACTAAGCTGAATAATGTTATATTGTTATCCACCTTGTTGCCACTGTAAAATTAGTACCGCATCGTCGCAAAATTTCGAGACAAAAAATTTTAAACTGAGTTAATAATTAATTTTGCCGAAGATTTTTTTAAACTTTAATATTTTATGATTAGTAAAGTTTAAAAAGAATCTTCGGCAAAATTAATTATTAACTCGTTTTAATGGGGCGTTATTTCGCGACGATACGGTAAATGCTGATTTATATTAAGGCCAGCCTAATTAGATTCTCTGTTTCACATTCCCCCCCCCAGAATCTCTCCCCTTCTCATAGTAAAAAAAAAAAAAAATCCATATATATAACGCAATACCCCCCAGGAGGTAGAGAATTAAATTGGTCTGGCATAAACGTCAAAAACGTCGATATTTTAATGTACTCTATTGGCCATTCACGTGAATATATTTGATAGACGAAAGGGTTTTCTTCTTTATGCATAAAATAATCCTTTCATTATTATGTCCACATTATAGTATTTTTAAATTAGAGAATAGTGTTGTTAACCTTGGGAGTCAGGGTTAGAAGATGTACTTTATATAGAAATTTAGCACAATAAAATTTTAAGGACACAGTAGGGATGCTAACGACTTAAATCGACTCTATTCATTAATCAGTTTTTAACTATTTAAATTGTGCCAATATTTCACCCTGGCATGCTATTAAATTACATTTACATGACATGAATAGGAAATTCGATATATTTTAACGTCTTATAACTAAAATTACATGCCAAAAACTTTTACTTAGAGGTTGGAAGCTAGTTGTCATAGTAAATACAATTTCTTATATTTTTTATATTTACAAAATTCCGTAATTTTATTGGATCTGGACCAATAATTTTAGGGTCGAAATGATCTTTAGTTAAGACTTTTTCAATATAAGGGCACTCTATATAAGTGACATGCCTAATACCTATTTGGGATTTATGCATGACTTGGCATGTCTCAATTGGCATGCCAATGACTGTTATGCCAGGTACCCTACTTGAGGGGTATATAAATAGAGCAAAATACCAACTTTACTTATGATGTTAGAAATATGGAAAGTGCGTACAGTACATACATATGCAACTCGAAATTAACAAAATATAAGATGAAAACCAATACATTTAAATTTTAAATTTTAAAACCCTCTTATCAAATGTATAATTTAGTCAAGGGGGCCAGTATTTTGAGTACTTACGCGTTATTTCGAGACGCACATGTGAATCATTTAATATAATATATTAAGTATAACAACTATATAGTATTACGTATATATGTAAATTCAGATGTAGTAGGGGGCGTTACTTTGAGTCAAATATGCAATTTTCAAAAAAGTGGAAAATTCAAAACAACGTCCTTGTGCGTTATTACGCGCAAATACGGTAATATGCTTAGTCAACAAATTAAATTTTGTTGTAATACATACACTATTTGGTCCTGATAACAAAGGTGCTATAAAAATCCGGTTAGATTTCTTCATTTACGGCACTTTTTTTTAAAAAAAAATTCATTCAAGTATCATTAAATAATTTTATGTTTGCCCCCAAGAAGAAGCATTAAAAATAATTTATAGTTTTAAACAATAACCTCAGAATGTGCAAATCATTTATCGCATCATTATTATTAGCTCTCTTTTTCATTTGGTCACTCACAGTTCTGGTTGCTCAAGGACAAATCATCACTAATTGCGCGATCGATGGAACCGCTGCTATCACCTTTGATGATGGCCCGTCTGAGGCACGTGGTAATTGTTTTATGCTTGTATTATTCATATTATCCATTTATAATTAATCATTTATTTTTCAAATAGTGGACTTACGATTTATTGGACTTTCTCAAAGAAAAAGGCATAACAGCTACATTCTTCGTTAATGGTAATAACCAAAATTGTATATACGACTATGCAGACGTCATATTACGTATCTATGAAGATGGTCATCAAATTGGTTCTCACACTTGGTCTCATTTGGATCTGGCATTGCTTGACAGAACCGAAATCATTTATCAAATGACTTCTCTTGAACAAGCCTTTAAAAAAATTCTTGGGATTGTTCCAAAATATTTTCGTCCTCCCTATGGCTCATATAATGATGAAGTGATCGACGTAGTTGAAAGTCTTGGATACTCTATTGTGCTTTGGAATCAAGATACTGGTGATTCTATGTCTAACTCTATAGAATACGGTTTAGAACAATATAGATCTTCCGATGGTCCTCCGTCATCTCATATTATGTTAAATCATGATGTTTTCCAAACTACATGCCGACAACTTGCTCCTCAGGGAATTCAAATTTATTTGGATAAAGGATTAAAGCTTATGAGTGTTGCAGAATGTATTGGAGCAACTGATCGCTCTCTTTGGTATCAATTTATAAGCGCCCCAGGTTATAGAGATGATACTTGGACGTGTTAAAGACATCCATAAAAGAATAAATTTAGACATTAATAATGACAATCAAAATTTATAGCATACATTATTATTAAATAATACGGTAATAAATGTTAAGCTCGTGACTTTTTTTTGATAACTGATAATTTTTGAAATCTGACTTAATGTACGTACGTACTATGTAAAAATCGAATCACTTAACTAGTTTTGGAGATAGCAATTGTAATGTAAAAAATAAATATTTAGCAATAAATTTAATTTGTTGTTCCATAACTTGCAACTTTTTTATAACAACAAGGTGGAGATAACCAACAGTAAATCGCATATTACTGTAGTACACTGACTAATAGACCTGGTATTTTGTTGCATTCATGATAATTTAAACAAAGCAGACTCTTGTTTTATGTTATGGTATTTTGCACGGAGATATTGAAGAGGGAGGTATTTTAGTCAATGCGCTACGGATCAGGGACCCAGAAAATTTTGAATTTATTTATAGGATTTGAAATTCTTAAAAATCAAAATTTTCCGGTCCTTGCTCTTATTTTCGCGAGAAATACAAGCCAAAAAAGGGTCGGGCAGAATCACATGACATATGACCAATCAAATTACAGTCGATAACGTGACGCAGTTTATATAGAAATTAGGGTTTTTCGAATGTGGTATGTTTCTATTTAAAACTTTTTTCGTACTAAGTTAATCACTTTTGAGTCTCTAATTGAAGTTGTAGAGCTCATTGTGACGAATCTAATGGTGGTTTAATCATCAAAATCAGTCAATAAATTTCTTTGTAAACTATAGTATAGTTTACAAAGAAGTCTACTGTATATAGGCAGAAAACATTTTCAAAGATATCTCATGATTCACAAAGCTAATTTTGATGGTTTAAAGACCAAAGTTTCATGATTCACAAAGCTAATTTTGATGGTTTAAAGACCAAAGTTTTATGATCCACTAGGTTAATTTTGATGATTTAACCACTATTAGATTTATTTTGATGAGCTTTATAACTTTAATTAGAAACTCAAAAGTGATTAACTTAGTATAAAAAAAGTTTTAGATAGAAGCATAGCATATTTAAAAGTTCTAAGTTTTATATATAAATCATATCACATTACACTATAATCACTCTTTGACTAATTGGCAAATTATCAATAATAATTTAAAATATTTAAATAAAATTTAATATAAAAATATTTGAAAATAAGAATTACTTTTCTTAGTATTTATTTTTAGATTATAAAAAAAATTCTAGATTATTTATCAGTCATATAACATATCTTTCCTGATGATTTTATTAATAATTATTCTTTGTGTAATAGAGGTTGGACCTGTTGAGAAAATCTCTACCCAGGTATTATTAAATTACCCGGGTTATCCAAGTAATTTATTATGATAATATATCAACAATTTCTACCTGGGTCCAACCCCTATTGTGTAATATAAATTGATGTAACTTTTTTTAATTACTTCACTTAACTAGTAAATAATATTTTGACTTTAAACAAGTTTTATTTTTTGAGTTATATACTTTTGTTTTATATTAGAAATATTTGTCTTATTTTATTAAAATTAAACTTAAAAATCACAAGTGTTTGATACAAATATAAAGATTTTACTTCAAGTTTTATAATATAAAAGTTGTTTTATTTTAATAATAGCAACAAACAAAGTATTTTATAAATTTAATTATTAGCACAAAGGTATTTTAGATGTAGCTTTTAGATATTTTCTAGAAGGTATATTTTAATTTTTTTTTTTTCACTTTGGCCGTCTTGCCAAAATTCTTTATTACTGGGCATCGATTGGTTAGAACAACATCAAACAAATTGTTATACTACATAATTTTAGACATGACATCCTGTAGTTACTTCTAAAAGCACTTATAAGCGACTAGCTGCACTAAGCAGACACGTCCTTTTGAACACATCACGATAAATTTCAATTAGAAATTACATCTATCTCAGAAGGCACTATCAGACTACCATCCTACAATAGAATATCACCAAACTGATAACATCTTCTCATAGAGAAGTAGAAAAAAGAAAAAAGTACTAATATTAATACTAATATTAAAAGAAAAGTAAAATAATGAAAACTAATACTAAAAAAAAAAACAAATATAAAGACAAAAGGTGTAAAAAAAAAAGGAGGAATCTGATAGGTTACAATTATGAGCCTGTGTCAGTCTTTAAAAAATTATATATTAATTGATGATTCACGAGTTAACAGAACAAAACATATAGTATAACATAATTCAGATTACTATATAAATTACATATGCTCTGAATGCTACGATCATTCAAGAAAAACTTTTTTCTTATTAAGCTAATTGACCTTATATATTATGAGAAAGTTGTAAAGCTTATTAAGATGCATCTAATGGTGGTTATATCATCCAAATTGGCCTAGTAAATGTTGAAATATCATTAAAAAACATGTTAATGACTATATAAAATTTTTATAGAAACAATATATTGTTTCTATAGAAATTTTACAT